AAGGTAAGCACCACCTTCCCAGGAGCGGCCGGGAGAGCCCTGAGTCTGCGGAGCGCCCCGCCCCTCGCGAGTAGTGACCCAGCGCCCCAGCAGCGCCTCACTCGGGCTCCCGCGCAGTCGCCGGTTCACCTGCGCCCGCTGCCGCCCCTCGATGCGCGCAGGAGTCCCCCCGCCGCCCAGTACCCAGAGCCCGCGCCGCCACCCGCTGCCCGCCCGCCCGCCCGCGCACCCCAGCGCCACCATGCATTCGCTCTTCAAGAAGAGAAACAAAGGCAAATACAGCCCCAAGGTGCAGACCCGGAGGTGAGGAGGCGCCCGCACACCGCTCCCACACGTCCTCGCGGAACCGCGCGCTGCGGGGCGGGGGGCTGAGGCTGCAGGGAGCCCAGGAAGCACGGTCCTGGGAGGCCGGAGGGCGGGGACTGAGCCCGGAGTGCGCGACTCTCTGGAACGTGCGGCCCGCGGGCCACCCTAGAGCTGGGGATTCCGGCGGCGGTAGGGATGGGCTGGGCGTCCTGGGGAAAACACTGGATCTGGCACCGGAGAGTTCCAGGAGCCCAGAGAACACTGACTTAGCGCCTAGAGGGCGGGAGCTGAGCTGGAGGTGTAGGCGACCTCCGTCTCCCAAGGTCGCCCCGGCGCCGGAAGCACCGCCCGGGTGGGGAGTGGTGTGTCCAGAGACGCTACACCCCTGGCCGGGTGGAGGGGACCTAGGAAACGCTGTCTAGGGGCGCACGGGGGAGAGGAAACTGAGCTAGGGTGTGGGAGGGGGCGTTCCCCTCCCTTGGACAGCGCGCAGGTGCTCCTGGCGTGGGGAAGCCTAGAGGTGGGGGTGCCACCCTGCGCTCGGTGGGTGTGGGGTCTTTGGGGGGGGGCACTGGCTGAAACACCTCCTGTTCCCGCTCCCCGGCGGCAGCCGAGCTGGGGTCTGCGCTGCGGCTGGGCGGTGTCCGGACCTCCTTCTGGCCGCACCCTCCCCCCCCAACAGCCCCGAAACTGGCGGCGTCTCTGAGCCCGGGGTTCCCAGGGCGGGTTGGGAAGGGAATGACATGTCTTGATGTGTTTGCGTTGAGACGGCAGCCCACGTCCGTTTTGATAAGCCTAATGTATTCACTTAATAACCGGTTTAAGGGAGCCTCGTGGAGATGCTGAGATTGAGGGAGGGGGGCGGGACTTCGGTCTGTCTAGTCCCCGCTGAAGGGAAAATGGGGGTGGGGCTCCCATTTAGGAGAAATTACTAAATTTCTCCCACAAGGGGCTCCAGGCAGGTGGGGCACTCAGGAGGGCACAGCCCACCTGCCTGGGTATCCTCCCCAAGGTGCACTCACCGTGAGCCCGGCACCCCTCCTTGACTCTGAGCTGCTCCTAACTCCCTCCCAGGCCCCAGATGAAGGCAAGAAAACGCTGGCCAGGGCCCCCACCCTGCCCCTGTGGTCCAGCCCAGGCAGACCTGTTTGACAAGTGCTGTGGGGCCTGGGTGCTGGCGCAGGGCGTGTGGGCACAGCCCTTTCAGAAACTGCACTGCCCAGTGATCCCACCCACCCCCACCTCTCCGTTGGTCTGTTTCAAGCTCAGACGCATTTCTTTCCCTCCCCTCGGAGGCTCCCCCAAACCCGGCCCCCTTGGTCTTTCACAATCCCAGAGATGGGGCAGGGCCCTGCACACTGTTCCTCTGTGCCTGGGTCCAGCTGGCTCTCCAACTCAGCTGGGGTCCTGTCCAGTCCCTGAGCTGTTCTCTCGAACATTGCACAATTGCATGCTCTGTGCCAGCCACAGAGGACTGGGCTGTTCTCCCTCCATTAAGACTCAGGCCCCTCCAGTCCTTCACACCAGGAGATGGGCCAGGCCTCGCCCTGCATCCAGTCCCCCAAGGCCTGGGCTTGGACCTAACAAACGGTTATAATAAATCCAGACAAACTCAGAGGGACTTGGCCTTTCCGGCAGACGTAGGAAGAAAGCATTCCCATCCTTTATAGCTGTGGGGACTCTGAGGGCCTGGGGTGGCAAGGACACTGGGTGCTGCCCCTCTCCAGACTCCTGGCCCAAGGCAGCCACCTTCTGCCCTTGGCTGACTGACCTGATTGATCTGAGATCTCAGCTTAGAGGTGTCTTTCTCCAGAAAGCCTTCTTGGTTCTCTCCCCAGGAGGGAGTGAAAGACTTCCTTTGAGCTCCCATGGCCTTGCACAGTCGCAGCCCTGAGGAGGTGCCAGGTGCTTCTCCAAGTGGTCTCACCAGCCCAGTGCACCCCTCTGCCCTTTCCTCTCCATGGGGTCAAGTTCGTGGGCTGGATTATGGGGTGGGGGGCAGCCTCTTGCCCCTTTCTCTCAACAAGAATCTTTTGAGCATTAACCAGTGCTAAGCCTGTACTTGTAGCTCTAAGATGTGGTCATAGGTCATGGGGCACAGGTCCCCAAGTTATTCTTTCACCCTGAGTTTTTGGGGGTCTTCTCCATTGCCAGTGAGATTCAGCATGGCATGGTGGGTAGGAGCTTTGGCCCTGGGCAGGATGTCTCGCTTCTGATTGCGGCTTTGCCACTTCTGCTGTGGGCAAGTGAGGGAACCTCTCTGAGCCTCAAATTTCTCGTCTGCAAAGCAGGAATGGTGCTAATATCTCCTACATGGGGTTCCTGAGAGGAGCAAACGTGACAACAAAGAGAATGCCGCTAGCACATCAGTGGGTCAGCATCACTGCCCCAGCTGAGGGGACCCAGGAGCCGGGAGTTGTGACCTTCACACCCAGGCAGTCAGAGCTTTGAGGTGCACAAGTGCGAACTAGCGAACAGAGTGCCTCCACGGAGAAAACTGCACCTCCCTGTTTGTCAGCCTGTCAGCAGCTGAAACTGGGGAGGGCTGGGACAGGGTGTGAACAGCTCTGCTGCTCCCATCACCCTGCTTCCTAATGACAGGTGTGGGACCTGATGTTCACACCTGAGCTAATGACAGGGTCAGGGCTGACGGTGCAGGTCACCAAGGACTAGGAGGGTCAGGAGGGGATCTGCTCTCATCTTCCTGCTCTGTGGCTGAGTTCAGCCCTGAGCAGCCCTTACTTCCTGGCTGTACAATCTGGGGCAAGCTGCTTGGCTTCTCTGTGCCGCTGTGCTCTCACCTACAGAATGGGAACAAGCAGAGTGCCTTCCTGGCGATATGGCTAGCACGAGGATCAAATGAAGTAGTTTAGGAAAGAGTTAAGAATTATAGGAGGCCTCAACCCATGGCGGCTATAATGAGCATAATTATTGAACAAATGCACTTACTGTGTGCCTGAACTGGTCAGGATATGCACTGCACAACTCCAGGGATGCCATTCCTGGGGTGGGGCGTGGGGGGATGTGAAGGAAACATTCACAATCTCCCTGCACTTGATTGATGGAGCTATGCTAATTACAAGTATGGTTACAGGACTGGGTTTCAGTGGGAGGGGAGGGGGCAAGCAAGGGCTTTTGTCCCCAGCAGGACATAGAACTGGGCAGATGTTTTAGCTTAGTGGCTGTAGTGCTCCCTAACTGGTCTGAAGTGAGCACTGTTAGAGACCTCAGAGATCACGGAGGACTTTCTGGGGAAGGTGTCTAACCTTTTGTGGGGAAGAGTGGAGGGGTGAAGATCCAGCTCCAGAGTTAGACTGAATTCTGCCTGTTTGATTTTGGCAAAGAAATTTGACCTTGCTGAACCTCCGTTTTCCCATCTGTAAAATGGGACTAATCTTGCTCTTCCACCCAGACCTGGTTCCCAGCAAGCATCCTGCAGCCTGGCCTGGTCTCCTGACATCACAGGTTAGCGGCGAGAATGGCTCAGTCCTAATAGGGGGAACCTGTG